CTCTCTTTCGACCAGCCTTCTCCTAAGAAGAGAGGTGGCCTGTCCCTCAGGGCTCCTCTCTGCACCATGGTGTCTGGACTGCTGATTGCTTTGTTGGTGAGATGGAAAAGATGACAATGTTACACTGAAATGCAAAGGGTAAACCTGGGTAGTCTAAGGTCAGCATCAACCTGGGTAGTCTAAGGCCAACATCAACTTGACCAATGCAGAACACAAGGCCATGGGTCCAGGATGAACTGCAGAGGATCCAGCCAAGGGTGACTGAGGCAGCCTGGGGCACAGGGCTTATAAGACATGGAGAGAGCTGTGCCGGCTGAGCCTGCTAATGAAGACATTAAGGGCGAATTTAATCACAGCTACAACTGCTCAGATCTATTAAAACAGGGTGGAAACTCACTCTTCCCAGCAGGGGTAGGTGATGTGACAAGGGGCACAAACCACAAATCAGGCTGGAAATTATGAAAAGCATCTTTCCCAGGAGGGTGACATAGTCCTGGGATAGGTTAGCAGAGAGGTGGAGTTTTCTGAGACTCAGCTAGAAAAAACCACAGCAGATCTACTCTTGGTGATACTGGGTCCAGTGTTGTTCAACTTATTCATCAGTGACCTGGATGAAGGGACAGAGCATACCCTCAGCAAGTTTGCTGATGACACAAAACTGGGAGGAGTGGCTGATACACCAGAAGGCTGTGCTGCCATTCAGTGAGACCTGGACAGGCTAGAGAGTTGGGCGGAGAGGAAACTAATGAAGTTCAACAAAAGCAATTGTAGGGTCCTGCACCTAGGGAGGAATAACCCCATGCACCAGTACAGGCTGGGGGTTGACCTGCTGGAAAGCAGCTCTGTGGAGAAGGACCTGGGAGTCCTGGTGGCTAACAAGTTAACCATAAGCCAGCAATGTGCCCTTGCGGCCCAGAAGGCCAGTGGTATCCTGGGGTGTATTAGGAAGAGTGTGGTCAGAAGGCCGAGGGAGGTTATCCTCTCCCTCTACTCTGCCCTGGTGAGGCCACATCTGGAGGACTGTGTCCAGTTCTGGGCTCCCCAGTTCAAGAAAGACAAGGAACTACTGGAGAGAGTGGGTCCAGCGGAGGGCTATGAAGATGATTAGAGGACTGGAGCATCTTTCTTATGAGAGAAGGCTGAGAGAGCTGGGTCTGTTTAGTCTGGAGAAGAGGAGACTGAGGGGGGATCTTATCAACGCTTACAAATATCTTAAGGGCAGGTGTCAGGAGGATGGGGCCAGGCTCTTTTCAGTGGTGCCCAGTGACAGGATAAGGAGCACCGGGCACAAACTGAAACACAGGAAATTCCATCTGAATATGAGGAAAAATTTCTTTACTTTGAGGGTGACAGAGCACTGGAAAAGGCTGCCCAGAGAAGCTTGTAAAGTCTCCTTCTCTGAAGATATTCAGAAGCTGCCTGGACATGACCCTGTGCAACCTGCTCTAGGTGAACCTGCTTTAGCAGGGGAGTTGGACTAGATGATGTCCAGAGGTGCCTTCCAACCCCAACCATTCTGTGATTCTGTGATAGTCCTGCTGCAAACAGGAGGGTGAATCAGAGACACCAGATGTCCCTTCCACAAACCCTGATAGGATCCTATGGCCCAAATCAGGCAAGGTAGCATGACTTTTTGGAAGTAGCTTTTGTCAAACTGTCTTGTTTTTTTTCCTGAACTCAGGAGTTCAGCAGAGTGCACAGACTTAAAGTGAGTGAGGCACTGGGCTCAGCATCAGCATCATCTGCAACACGTGAAATCAGTTTTAAACAAGGCTGGCATTCAATGGGGACTGTGTCCAGCACAGTGGAGGCAGCACCGCTCCTTAAAATTATTAGAGATCTGGGAGACAATATAGAAACATTGCTGGCAAATCGTTCATAAAGTGTCCAAAATGGCAGTGTTGGCAATGACAACTTCTGTACAGAGCAATGATCATGGCTTGATGGCTGAGCCCATGAAAACGATTGTAAGGTTGTGCTTGGGTCTGGAAACCAAAATGCAGGTCTTGCTTGCAGAATGGGAGACTGCACTGAGGGAAGCAGCATGTGAAGGGACCAAGACAGAAGCCACCAGGGAGGTAAGAGCTGTCTGCATGGCCAAGTGAAGTAGCACTTTACACTTGGACGTGTAAAAGGAACAGCGAGACCAGTAAGGAAAGTAGTTTATCTGCTACTGCGTACAATGCGTAGTTCAAAAAATTATGATGAAGAATATAGAAGTGTCCACAAAAAAGATCCACATTCTGGAAAGCCACCTCACAGCAAGAGTGATTCATTCAGCTTGGTCTAACTACCTCTTATTTTTCCTTGAGAGAAGCTACGCGTCACCTGTGTCTACCTGAGGACAAATGTCCTACTACCACAACACTACAGCAAAATAAGTTATGTTGATGTAAAGGCCAATGTTAGTGAAATCCAGACCTCGTTGGAGAGGGGTACAACAGTAATGACTGCAGCCATCTTCCTCTGGGAGAACAAGAAGGTGAATGGTGTGTCACCTCCTTTGATCTCAAGTTTCCCTTCTGGGACAATGGTCACCATACCATCACACCCCCCCAGTGCCACTCCTCCGGCCACACTCAGTACCTGCCCTCCAGCTGCTCTATAGGGATCATTTTCTTCCTGTCTCACAGCAGCTTTTTCCTGGGATGCTGAAGAATTTATGATACCTGAAGGTTAAAGAGGCTGCTGGTGACGTGGTATCTCTCCTCAGTCCCAAAAGCACCAACTTGGTGGTCCCTCAACAGCGGTCCATTTATCCCTGGGTAAACCAAGGGTGATTCTGGCTTGCTTTCTTCAGGTCTGGGAGGTCCCCAGAGGCCAGTGTAGTGGGTGCTTTGCAGGGCAGCTATCATCTAGCTGCGGCAGGAGCACAACCCCATCACATATTCAGTCCTCTGCTCTGCCTGAGATGGAACCCCAGCTAGCTGCTCAAGCCAGAGCAAAGGCAGAGGAAGGCTGTAATCACCGCTTCCCCAGGCTCATCCCTCCCCTCCCTCTGCATGCTCTCCTCTCCCTACAACACCCTCCATTCTCCTATCCCAGCTCTGCCTTTGTGTCTGCAGCTTCTGTTACCAACTGCTAATGATCTACATCAAGGCTGCCAGGCGGTGCAGAGTGTAAGCAGAAGAATTCAGAGTCTCTAATTACAGAGGAATTAGCAAGCAGACAGTTACTGTTTAGTGCTAATGAATAGATACATTAAGAGAGACATCACACAGGCTGAGAAGCATGAGCCCTGATAATAAAGGAGTGTCAAACAAGGAAAACACAAGGAGGAGGATCCAGGGGGCTGAAAAGGATTTGCCTGCAACTCAGCTCTTTGGTTTTGCTAAGGTGGAAGTAGCCACAGGCAGTGCATGAAGGTAACAAAGCACACCATATAACTGCAAAGTGCAAAACCCGAGCGTTAAATAACTCATCTATAGCGTGGGACGATGCTGGGGGTGTGCACAGCCCCTTCCCAGCCCCAGGTAGCATCACACCCACCCTGTCTCCATCATCTCTCTCTGTAAAGGAAGCTGCAACAGGTCACTGTCCCAGATGAGTTCCTCTCTTCTCATCATGTGTGGACATATTCCTGCTCACAGTCAAACCACGGTTCAATGCTATGCTAAATCTGCCTTCAGGGCTTCTGATACTGTATTGAAAACACTGTGACCCCACGGCTCCTGAGTTAACTTAAGATCAGAGGTCAGTCTGCCTGTTCATGTGTGACCAAGAAATTTTTGCAGGTTACCTCTGTCTTGGCGCTCTGCATGCCTAACCAAGTGATGCCCATCTGCACCACTGATGCTTTACCCCAGACAAACACCTTCCTGCAGCCAGCACACACCACAGTCTCCAGGCAATTCAGTGGAAATGCAATCATCCATGACTGCCAAATTCAGTCCTGAAGGTCATGTAGCATCCAGGGCAGCCTGCGGCATGTTCACACAACCCCATATATTTGCTGCAGCACTCAGAGGGACCACAGAAACTTGCTTACTCCCATGCATGCTTGTACCTTACTGGCATGCTTCCACCGTGCAATCGGATTAAGCAAAGCCCCAGCCCCAGTCTGTGCTCCAGCTCCAGATGGCTTCCAGGTGGGCTGGGGAGTGCAGCCCTTGACCAGCAGCTCTGCAGGGCATCCTGCCATCAGCACAGCTGCTGCCTGGGGACTACTGGTGAATCTCCCAGGAGCAGCATTACCAGCCACCCTGACACATCCCCTCCCCCAGCAAAACCACCCCGCACAGAGGGAGTATAGCAAAGCCCCAGGCCAGCACAGAGCTGGCGACGCTGAATGAAACCCTTCCAGCCCTGATGCTTGGTATTCTTCACCAAGGTGACTCTGCAGTGGCACAGGACCTCGAGCAGATTTCCAGATGACCATCCCATATATCCATCTCCCAGCCCCTCTTCCATGAAGCTTTTCTTTGTTTTCATGGCCTGTCCTGACTTTCTCTGCAGTCAGAGCAGAGATTGCAGCATGTGTCAAAATGCTGGAGCTAACCTTACCTTGTCTCCTCAGGAACCAGGAGCAGTAGCAGGGGCTGCAGCAAGGCTGCCAGCAGCGGTGAGCACTGCTGCGGTGTCTGCAACACACCGACAGTGCATGCAACTGATGCTCCGAGGCAACAACCTCAGAAACAGTCATGCGCCCAGCGCTGGAGAGGGATGCTGAGACACCAGGGGACTGTGACATGAGCTGTTCTGCTGTGGTGATGGGGAGGGCAGCTCTGCCTTGGGACACACTCCAGCTTTTCACTGAAATAAGGGAAATTTTTCACACCCAAGGCTTGGGATTCATCCAGGAATTGGCAGGCCCATGCACTTTGGTCATCACCAGCATTATGGTGCAAGCAACACCATGCCACATCCCACCCCACCTCTTCTCCCCTTCAAGCCCTGCTCACACCGCAGGGTTTCACCCAGCACCTCTTGACCAGGACATCTCTGCCCACCACCTCCCCTTCCTGTAGAGGTCTGCTGGGAGACACGGGTCCACATCTTACCAGCCTGGTTGGTGGTGATGTTCACTGATGCAAACTGTGGGGAGAAAGGGCTCTGGTCGGTGACACCGTTCACTGCCTGGATCTCGAAGGTGTACTGGGTGTGGGCCAGCAGGTCACTGATGTAGATGCGGGGCTCTGTCAGGCCCAGCTGGCGGGGGGCAAACTGCACGTTGTCCCCGCAGCGCGTGCACGCCCCGCGGCCAGAGCCACAGCTCTTGCAGATGATGTTGTACACCAGGTCCTCCCGGCCCCCCAAGTCCCTTGGCGGGGTCCACTCCAGCATCAGAGAGGTCTCATTCACGCTGGAGATGACGGCCTGGGGGGCAGATGGGATGGCTGTAAAGGGAATAGACAGACATGTGTAAGAGCCACAGCCCTGCTCATCACTACAGCTGCACCCCATCCCTGGGCAGGACTCTCCAGCGGGCACATGCTGAGCTGGGTGCTTCTTTTGGTGTCAGGGTTGTGCGGAGCAAGCTGGACAGTCAAAGGCAGGAGTGGGAACAAAACCTGTCCTCTTCACCCAGCCTCATTTGATTATGTGGCATCCCTGGCCAAAATTCACCAGTTATTTTTTGTAGCGTTTCTGATTCCTGGCCTTTGTACTAATCTCCAACACACACGCCTTCTCATCCGGGTACAGCCCCAAAGTGAAGTCATCTCACTACCTATAACAGCACAGAGCAACCCGAATTTCTGTCCTCTTTGCATGCACAGTGCTTGCAAGCGCAGACTGGCCCAGGGTAAGAAAGACCCACGCCTGCAAGGATGAGGTGCTCTGAGCCCCCTGGCTTCCTCCAAAATCCCACTGAGACAGACGCCTTTGTTAAGCAACCCTTGGTGCTTTGACTAATGTGTGTCTCCTTTCTTAACCGCACACCATCCCTCCCCAGTTGCCCAGAGCCCACATACTGGTGCATGGCATGTCAACAGGATCAGCATCTGCCCGGTAATATCCATTTCGGCACACGCAGTTAGTGGCCCCTTCCGAAGTTGTCCGGCTGTTAATTGGGCAGTGGACACATCCTTCATCCCCTTGGCTGGCCTTGAACGTCCCTGATGGGCAGCCTGGAAGAGAACCAAGAGCAGCAGTAAGTGGCAAGGACAGGGGCTGGCAGGGACGCCCAGAGCCTGGCAGCACTGCCAGAAAACACCCTTCGGGGCTTCGCGGGATCTGAAGCCAAAACCTGACAATTTGAAGTAAACAAAGTGGAGAAGCAGCAGGTGGTTTGAAGGCTCTGAGGAAGCAGGTGCTGCTGCTCGTGCTGCCTGTAGAGATGGGGTCCCCATGCAGACAACTATCCCCCTTAGTCCCCAACCACAAGCTCAGAACAGGGTCCACTCAGGAAGTCTTACAAATGCAAAGGGGATTTTTAGCCGCCATCACATAAGAAGATGTGAGTGGCTGTACCAAGTCAGACCAAAGGTCCACATGGTCACCAGAATCCTCTCCCCAACAGCAGCCACCCAAGGAGCTGGGCACATGCATTGCCCACCACACCTTCCCACCCTCCAACAGTTTATAGCTCAGGGACTTTCTAAGAGGCAGGCTCTTTGCATTTAACATCCCTTGTGGGATGTTTCTTCTACTAAGTTACCCAGTTATTTTTTTATTCCATGCAAACATTTTGCAACCATTTTATCCTGCAGCACAGAGCCTCACAGTGTATTTGCATGCTGCATAAAGAAACTGCTGTCCTCTGCTTTGAAGCTGCCAGCTGCCATTTCATTTGATGCAATCTCACATTGGCAAAGAACACTCAATTGGCATACACCTTCTCCATGACCCCTAGGTTTGCACTAACCTCTGTCATGCCCCAAGCAAGTTGCACGACAACATTCACTATTTTACCCTCTACTCTTCCCATAATTAGCAATGTCCAGATTATTTTTTAACCACCAATGTACTAACTGGACTGCCTATTATAGCCCTAAGGTCTCATTCCTGAGAGACATTGGGCCACCTCACAGCCTACCTCTGTGCACGTGTGTGTGAAGTATTCTCCCATTTGCATCGCCTCAAGTCTATTGAATTCCAATTGCCTTCTCATTCCCCGCTCACCCCGTCTCATAAGGTCCTTTTGCAACTCTCCACAGCCAGTCCTTGTCTTCACTACTCAGTATCATAAGCAAATTGTCACTTCGGCTACCATCAGCAGAAGCGTGCTGGGGTCTACCTCCACTGACCTCTAAGCCATTCACAGATGAAGAAGGTGGTCCTTTAGCAACAGCCGCTCAAAAAATGCGTGTTCAGCCAGGCAGGGTAGGCGAGGGCAGCACAGGGAGTGCATGGTGCCTACAGCAGATGGATGGTGAAGGCAGGACCACAGTGTGAAATACAGTATTAACAGATTTGGCACAGGTGGCTAAAAATATCAGTGCAAAGTTTTAAACACCAGAAAGTCCTTTCCAAGTCGGGGGATCACCAATGCCAAAGCAAAAGCTTGGCTATAAGCATTTATCGGCATGGCTCTCAGTTATTACTCTTGGTTGCGACTTTCTGCTGCTGTTAATTTCTTGTGCAGCACAAAGAGCCTGGGGGGCGGCAGGTGGTTTCTGCACTAAAACGAGTTAAACAAACTTCTACTTCAGTTCGCTGCCAAGGCTTTCAGGAATGAGGCAGATCAGAAAAACGGCCTGGGAAAAACATACGCTCGGGCTTGCTGTAAGCAAGAGCTATTATTACTGAGAAGTATCTATTTTTTTCTTTGAAAAAAAAGACCTTTTTTTTCCACTTTCATCTCCCTTCCTTCAAAATTATCTTGAGTTTCCAATGAGAAAAGCTCTACAGAAAAATACCATCAGCATTCCTGCTTGCAAAGTCCCTCCTGCCTCCTACAGTCAACGGATCTGTTGAAAAACCAGCTTCCCCTCATGTTCCTGGATCTTCCCACCCTCTCTGTCCCCTATCCCCCATGCGTTTGACTCCATTTCTAACCCTATTCCCTTGGTACAAACCCACCTCGGAGGGTGTTAAGCTGTTGGGAGAGGTGATGGCTGCGTAGTTCTCCGTTACAAAGAAGCAATGGTAGTTCTGTAGCTGAAATGATAACAGGGTCCCGGTACTAGTACCAATTTTTGAAACACGATAAGACCGACACACAAAATTGCTCTAGTCTGACATCCAGGGTGAAATATAGGGTCATTTGATCAAAGACATTTTGAAACATAGGCCTCTTTCACCTTCCCAAGGCTTATTTTAAGAATAACAACTTTCCTATAAGGTTTCTTCTGCATCAAGATAGAGATACATCAAAAAAATACCTATGCTGCTGAGATTTAGCAACTGGCCCTGAGAGACAAAAAACATTCCCCAGGTTTGGCCCGGCACAGGCTGATGGCTGGAATTAATACTTCTGCGTGCACTGCTCTTAGAGCAGGGCAAAAATTGGGGGCTGAATGATTGTTCACCAAAAATACCAAGCTGGGATGCTAAAACTCTCTCACGTGCCATCAAAACATGGCCAGATGTTTTGGCAACTTTCTTCCTCCCCAGGAGTTTCCGCACACTGACATGGGATAAAATAATCCTGGAAAATCAGAACTTCTCCAAAGATAAATGTTCTGAAATCATGCTGAAAGACAGGAAAATCACTCAAATTTGATGCAAAACCCTTTTTTATTTTTTGTTTCTCAAGTAATGACAACCTCCAGAAGTAAAATAAATGAACATTGTGTTCAAAACTGTTTTGTTTCCCTCCAGGTCTTCCTCTGGGTGAGAAAACAGCTTTTAATTTGGAATCTACCCAATTTTTTGTTTCCAGAGTAAACAGCAAATCAAAACTGAAATCTTCACATAGGGGCTAAACCCCTCCTGTTCGAACAGCATGGATGTTCTCACCACTTGCTGGTGCCGGAAGACATGAGGACACCCCAGATCTCTGCCCCAGGTGGTGACAGCAGCTTTGGGACATGCTGCTTCCCCTTAGGCTTGCAATGAGGGCAGGGGCAGAGCATCCCTAGAAACTCCTGCTTAGAAAGAGGGAATTGAAACAGTGAAAGCAGAGAAATTTTTACTTTATCAGAGCATCCTTCATCCCAGGAGGGTGATTACCGTGACAGCAGCTCTGGCCCCATCACTGAAGCAGGGGTGGTTTGCAGCTTCCCACGTGGTGGGTTCCCCCATCGCCAGCACCAATCGGAGGATGCTAACAGGGGTTCACGGGAAACATATGGACCTTTAATTGCCTCACTGCTGCACATAGGCATGGATGGCTGCCTCACTAGGGTACAGCTCAGAGACAGCCAGAGACAGCGGCGGGTTTGCTAAGAGTACTGGCTGTAGCGCTCTCAAACAAGATTGGGAACGCCTGAGCAGCACTGGGTGTCCTCATTTCCAATCCACCCATTCCCAGGGCATGGAAAGGTGGTCATGCCTGGGAAGGCACGTGTTTTGGGAAGGGAATACCATGGAGAAGGACCCATGAGGGGTCCTGCCCTCCCCTGCAGCAGGACCACGCCAGGGATCCGGGAAAGAAGGCCACTTCTGCAGCATCTGCTGCTGGAGGCAGCACTGGCATGAGGCTTCCAGTCCTCCTTCCCCATAGCGTTGCATGCCCTGGGGCAGCATGGCAGAGAAAGGCATCCCATAGCTCAGCCTGAAGGAAAAGTCTTTGGCCAAATGTGCAGGAGGGGCTGCAGAAGGGTTCCCTGTTTGCTGGCCCTGTGTCCCACTGCCTCTTTCTAACCAACTTTTAAATTAATCCAGTGTGAGCTGAGCAGGCTCCAGGCAGGCTCCAAACAGGCTGCTCTGCATCAAAAACTGCCCTGGCCTTCAGAGCCCACCACAGACCACTTCTGTAAACAGCTCGGAGCAAACAGCTCTCTCTTGCAATAAAAGTCTCCAAAATGGCACCTTCAGACCATGCTAATGGCTCTGAGGAAGGGTCCTCCTTGGCTCCCTTTGCCTGGCTTTGTTTCTTCTGGCAACAAGGCTCCTTCCACTCGAGTAAGGCATTTTTAACGGCTGATAGAAAACAGGCAGCCCTGGCTCTGTCAGTTAGGATCCGCCAAGAGTCTTAAATCCCCAACCTTATCTCCCAGCTGCCTCTCTTATCCCTCCGGGGCCAGAGGCAGGGGGCAGGCAGGCTGGCTCTGCAGCCTGACATTGTCAGCATCCCTGGTGCTGCAGGACCCCAGAGCTGGTTGCCTCAGCTGCATCCTGCCTCACACCCTCCCTGGTGCTTTTGGGAGCCCTCTCCCATGGCCCTCCCTGCTCCCACTGGCATCCTAATCACCCCACAAACCCTATGCAATCCTCTGGCTCCCTTGGTTGTGCACCATGGGACTGCCCCTGCACCAACCCCATGCCGAACACGTGCCAGCAATTTGCTCTTATGGAGAACAAATTAAACAATGTCCTGGGCCATGCCAGGAGGAGCATGGCCAGCACATTGAGGGAGGTGTTTTCCCCTGCCAGGCACTGGGGATGCTGCCACAGCTTGTTTGGGGTTGCCCAGTTCAAGGGCAATATGGAGGAACAGGAGAGTCCAATGGAGGGTCACCAAGATGGCCAGCCCTGGGGCACAGGGCATATAAGGAGAGGTGGAAAGAGATGGGATGTGTTAACCAGGGTAAGGGGGGTTCTAAGTGCAGCTGCAGCTATTTGGGGGCAGACGCAAAGAAGACAGACCCAAACACTTCTCAGGGTGCCAGACTCTGTAACAAGGGACAAGGACCACAATTTCGGACCACAAGTTCAGACTGGGTATTAGGAAAAGCTCCTTTTCCAAAGGATGGTGCAGCCCTGGCCAGGTCATAGAGAGGTGGTGGATCTCCTTCCCTGGGGGAGATTCAGCTAAATGCCATGGCTGCCTTGAGCTGATGACAGTGGCAGCCCCGCTGCAAGCGGGAGGCTGGACCCCAGACTCCAGAGCCTCCTCCACCAGCACTTCTAGCTCTCTACTGCTCGTGGTGTGTGGGGGAATATTTATGATGTTGTCCTGCGCAGAAGACTATTATGTCCAACCAGCTCTGAATTTACCCCTTTTTGCTTTCATCAACCATTGCAAGATGAGGTGGGTGTTGTAATGACATTGTCACTTTCCCCATATTCTTCCCCATTCTGC